GGAAATGGAATATGCATTTTTGAAATCGAAAATGTCTATTTATTTTAAAATAGGCCTGATTGATAAGTCAAAAGCATTTTTTTTTAATAATACAACGGACTTCTTGTTAATAAATAGCCATTCCTTAAACTAAAAAGGCCTTTTCAATATTAAGAGTATTGCGCTAACAAACGTTCAAGGAAGAGTTATTGCACCTTAGCAGCCGGAGAGTGTGGAGGCCGATCCGGTGTTTTCGGACGCTTCGGTCTTTGTAATTTGGCTCCGGCACCGCACTCCACGAGATGACGACATGCATCCGAAGGTCCACAAAGTCGGCCGTTGGGCTTCCGATGTTTGCTTCTTGGGCCAAACCTGGCGTGGCTGGAATTCTCGTTCGTGTATCTCCAGTTTGCCTCTTTGTCTGCCTAAAATATGATTTACTCGGACACAACAGACGACGGCGGCAAAATAAAGTCATGAAAGCTTACTGTGTCAGTATTCGTCCGAGGAGGAGGGAAGCGACCAGGGTTAAATAAAGAGAATGGCAAGATTCTCTGACCCTGCAATTGTTATGAATGGCACTGTGTTGTTGCAATCAGGATCTGTCGAAACGCGCGCTCTGGTTCCTGGATAATGTTCCCCTGCTGGGTGCGTTTCAAAAAAATCAGTCTCGGCGGTTCTCCTCCACTCGCGTGCACTTTCCGCAGATTCAGAACGGTGGAGAAATTCATTCTCGTACCCTGCAAAACTACCCATCAACGTTTCGCGTTACTACCATTTCGGTCGACCTGGTTGAATTGGGAAATAGGGATTTGGAGTTGTCATCCTCCGTGAATGCATTCTGAATTTGAAGCGCCACCCCCGCAAAAGAGTATGCACATCTCTCGACACGGCTCCTTCCCTTCTTTCGGGACCTTTGGTCGTGACCGGCCAGCCAGGCGACGGGCGACGGCTGCCCGGTGGCTGTACAACTGTCTCCAAGTCGTCTCAAATGTCCACGCAAACCCGTCAGTTCTGACTCCTGAGAGTGACCAATTTTCTTTTCCAAAGAAGACATGGTTTTTTTGTTGGGGAGTGTTTCCGACAAACAACTTTTCCCTAGAGGCCTTGGTTGATTGGCTGACAGGTATTGACTTGTATATTGTCAGGGGGAATTGGCGGACCGGTTCACGGCGCATCGAGGCCACTGAATTGGGGTACTGCAGACGCCACCGACCCAGGATTCCAACCAAACCACAGCACCACCACATCTCCCGGCATTTGCATGAACAAGTGCTTCTCTTAGGATTGTCCATGTAGTCAAGCCACCTCGCTGCGGTAGATCATTGGAGAATCCCTTAATGCAGTATCAGAGGATTTAATTGTGTTTGCCTTGTATGGATTCCAAATCAGCCAACATCAAGAGATCATCAAAAGAGGCCGGGCAGACGCGGGGAAATCATGGGCGCAAAGAGGTCAACAAGTCGGCCGTTGATACCCCGGTTTTCATGGACCCTCACTTCGGTTGGCCTGTGCAAACGGTCAAAATCTTGCATTGTACCTGCGTTTGTCTGCCCGTCGGTGTGGACCAGTGGTTGAGGTGAAGGCGGCTCTTTCACCCGCTCCAGGACATGTGGAGGTTTTCTCTCCTTGGCACAACCTAGGGATCGTCTGTTTGACTTGGCATTCAGGGGCCAAGGAACCTCAGGACCCCTGTACCCCTTCATCCCTCACCCTTGGACGTCACATCGAACACTCAAACAACCATGCGTTCTGGACATTCTGGATTCCAACTGGTGGAATAAGGGGAACGAGGGTGGGTGGAGGGGGAAAGATGAACCGCCCATCTATTCATGCTCTCGTCTTCAGTTAAATAGCAGCTGGTCTGCTTCTCTCCCCGTTGGCTTCACTTCTCTTGTTTTTTTTTGATATCCGTTCTTGTCACCTTGTTTCCTTCCCTCTTTCTCCCTCACCTTTTCCATTCCCTTCAAACATCTTTTTGCTTCTTTCCGTGCTGCGCATACCCCCTTTTGAACCAATTTTCTGCTTCTTCGGATTTTCTCCTCCACGATCTTTACCTTGTGATACATACACATTCCTTAACGACACTCCTTCTCAAAGAACAAACATCAAGACAAACAACAGATAAGATAAAATGGCTGGCCGACTTCTCCTTTCTCTTTCTTTCGCCCTCTCCGCTTTGGGAGCTGCCCTCCCAACGGATCGCAAGTCAGATGGTTTTGGACACCTCGGGCTCCCCGTCACCAACTTCAACGCCAAAGGGACTATCCCACACAAATATATCGTTGTATATCACAACAACTTCACCGATGAGGCCGTCGAGGAACATGAGACCAAGATCATGAAGACGGTAGCCAAGCGCAATCTTGGCAAGCGCAGCCCTCACACCGGCAGACTTTTGTCTACCAAGGTCAACACATTCAAGATCAACGGATGGAGAGCAATGAACTTGGAGGCTGACGACCTCCTCGTCAACGAGATCTACGCCGACCCAGCAGTCAACTACATCGAGCAGGACGCTGTTGTCAAGATCAACGCCCGCCAGATTCAGGGACAAGCACCCAACGGCCTCGCTCGTCTCAGTCACTCCGAAGCCGGACAGGCTGGCTATATCTTTGACAGCTCCGCCGGCGAGGGCATCACCGTCTTCGTTGTCGACACCGGTGTTAGAGTTACCCACCAGGAGTTTGAGGGCAGAGCTACCTTTGGTGCCAACTTCGTTGATAATGTCAACACTGATGAGAACGGTCACGGCAGCCACGTCGCTGGTACTGTTGCAGGCAGGACCTTTGGTGTTGCTAAGAAGGCCAGCATTATCGCTGTCAAGGTTCTCGATGCCAATGGATCCGGTTCCAACTCTGGTGTCATCCAGGGCATGCAATTCGGTGAGCCATCTTTTTCTCAATTTCTTCAGTTGCACATTTTGCTAATTGTTTCATAGTCGCCCGTACCGCTCAGCAGCAGGGTCTCCGCGGCAAGGCTGTCATGAACATGTCTCTCGGTGGTGGCTTCTCCCGCGCTGTCAACGCTGCTATCAACAACATCGAGGCTGCCGGTGTCGTCCCCGTCGTCGCTGCCGGTAACGAGAACCAGGATACCGCCAATACCTCCCCCGGCTCTGCTGAGGCCGCCATCACCGTTGGTGCCATTGACCAGCGCAACGACCGCAAGGCCTCCTTCTCCAACTTTGGTCCCGTCGTCGACATCTTCGCACCCGGTGTCAACGTTCTCTCCGTCGGCGTGACTTCCGACACCGCTGAAGACACCCTCAGCGGCACATCCATGGCTTCCCCCCACGTCGCCGGTCTCGCCGCCTACCTCATGGCCCTCGAGGGTATCACCGGTGTTCAGCAGGTCTCTGACCGCATCAAGCAGCTCGCTGCTGCCACTGGTGCTCGCGTCCTCAACAACGTCAGGGGAACCACCAACCTGATTGCTAACAACGGCAACCAGTAAGTTTGTGGTTTTCGAGGAGAATTTGTTTGCATTGTTTTCTAATTTTTGTTTTTTAAAAAGGGGTTGGGCAATTTAGAAATGTGTGATATGATCTATTGCATTTATATGAAATGGAAAAGAGAGAAAAAAGCCAAGAAGCAGAAAGCTTTTTTATTTTTTAACAACATACCATCTTGCAATCAATCAACATTCGATTGGCAGGCAGGCAGGCTCTGTATATATTTTTTTATTCTTTTATTTTTAGAGGGAGGACAAAGCGGAGCATATTTTTCACCATTTTTCATTTCTTTTCTTTTGCCTGCGAATACCGACTTGCCACTCGGATGGAATGTATATACAAGAGTCAAAATGAAATGAAAAAGGAAGCCTTGAAACAAGGGGGGAAAAAACATCACGAGATCAATGAATCTGTTTCTGTTCAATCTGAGAAACCCCAAAGCGAAGGCGAACAAGAAGAGTTTATTCACACTACACTCTCACCTGACTCAAAATAACCGCCTCAACGACAAGTATACGCAACCTCTTGTCCCACCACGCGTTTCATAACAAGGGGTTTGGGAAAGAAAACAAAGAAGCTCAACCAAATAGCCAAAGTCTGAAACTTTGCCAAACCTATCTAGGTACCCTTCAGCCGGCATTGACCGAACAGAACCGATGGAACGGGAACGAGCATCAAACGTTGCTTATTGTCTACACTGCCATTTGTTTATTTTTATCCCCCCAATTGTCGAGGAATATCTATTACGTTTTTGTTTACAAGAAAAATAGAAAGGCTGGGCGGATGTTCTATCTATTTGGTATAGTGGACATGAAGATAATTGGATATACATAGATATATATACATAAAACAAATGTATACTTACAAGAATGATGAAATTGACATAAATCATCTTCTACAACCTATCAACTTGACAATTCTGAATACTACTCGGACTTACTAATATTTTCCTCAGGAAAGTAGCCTGGCCATCGTTTTAAACTTTTGGGTCTGAACGACATGGACACAAACACTTATTCTCAACGTTAACGCGGTGCCAACTCATCAACGATAATAAATTAGAACTTGAACCACCCCAAATACCTACCTGCTCATACAGTAGATTCTATATTAAAACATCTGAAGAAAAACCTAGGTCATTAATTAACTGTTAGTAGTATTATTGTAGATATGGGAAGTGATAAATTGCATATGCATATAAGTATAAAGAGAACATTCTCTTCCAATAACTAGCGGATAACAAATAATTACCCGATAGAAACACTTCTTCACTCCTTCACTCCCGATATTATAGCCTCTATTATCAGCAGCTGGAAGACAAATCTCATAGGCCATAAACAGTCAGAAAAAGCAAGACATCAAAGACTTTTTCCAAAAAACGACCAATACTGAAAACAACAAATACCACAATACAGCTATCGCCCAAAATCCTTGACCATAACTCTCAATCTGACACCCAACCTACCTATCCACCAACGTCATCAAAACCCAACTTATCACCCTCTTTTCCATGGCATAAGCCCCTCCCTCAGGCCTATTTAATTTCCAAAATGCTTATTTCCTTTCCGTCCTCGTAGCGAAGTGGTCAGCGTTTGTGTGTGTCTTTCTTCAAGCGGTTTGATTTTCTACTACAGCGTAGTATTTGACTTGAGGGGCAGCGAAAGAAGACGTCGGTTCGAATCTGACCGGGGACATAATCTTTTTTCTTTCTTTCTTTCCTCTTTGACTTTTTTTCTTCTTTTAACTCATTGACTACTTTATGGATTATATTAGCTACTCTCTCTCTCTCGTCCTCTGCTCTGTATTCCGTCTGTCTTCCAGCTGCTAATAATATAGGCTATATCGGGAATGAAAGGAGTGAAGAAGTGTGTTTCTGTATATTTATTATCCGTTAGTTATTTTATTGGAAGAGAGTGTGTCTTTACACTATATGTATATATGCAATTTATCACCTCCCATATATCTACAATAATACTACTAACAGTTAATTAATGACCAAATCACCCCCAAATCTTTATATTACAAAGTAGTCGTATTCAACAACAGAAAGCAGGCATTTCCTCGACCTTCAATAGTGGTAAACAATATTCCAATGAAAAACTTACATTTCCCAAATTTCCCAAGCACAGGTTACAAAATCATTTCACCCTCGACGTTTGACAAACAAGTTAACAAAACCTCAACGATTGGTTGAAACATGAACACCACCCTGATGAATACCCACCGATTGTCCACGTCTTAAAGCATATCTGCACGAAAACTTTCCGAAGAAACCGTCCGACTCGTTTCATACCACCGCGGCAGCATTCTACCAATAGATTGCTCAGCACACAGCGGAAACCTTACTTGCTCAAAACATGGGGTTTAATTTCTCTACACAACTAACTGGATAATACCGCAGACCACCAAGCAGATTGCGTATGAACGGAGAAATGGCACAACGAATTATACCCCGACTGCACTAGGCCTCGGAAAGATACAAAAGAAAACATAGTAATCATCATCAAAAAAAAATGTCGCAGTCCACCATTCAACAAGCTCTCCTGCAGAGTAAAAAGAAAGAGCCGAAGTCAAACAGCGTGCCCGGATACCAGGCTACTTGCAAAAAAAGGGGTTTAATATCAGCACATCTTCGGCACAACTACAGCCATTGAGAAAAGACTGAATTGCAATTTGACATCCGTGCTAGTGGTATAAAAAGAAAGGCAATGATCAGTGAGGAGAAACGAAAGAAAGAAGAGAGAAAAAGTCCATCATCGTATTTAATTAATGATTAAGATGGTCCGCATTCGTCGTCATTTTCCCTCTCGCTCGCCTTGGAGATATGCCGCTCGTTTTCATCGTAGGTATGTCATTAAGGTGTGTGTGTAGAATAAACAACATTGAAATGTCAAAAGAAAAGGGCAAAAAAGAAAAACAAAAGCGCGCGCTCGCACACTTTAAAGTTCCTCGTGAACGATGGATGGTATCGCTGAGGCAGTGGTTTTAATGTCCATGTTTTTGAAGACTTGGTCAACTTGTGCACCGAAATACCATGCAATGCATACCTGAGGAAAAAAAAATTGAGTTAGCGCCAAGGGCACGAAAAAGCGGGTCGGATTATTTCATCCTCCGACGGGGTGGAACTTCCTTACCATGGCACCACCGAGAAGGAGAAGGACTGATACAGCAGAGCAAATCAAGTAGAAAGCCTCCAAGCTGTCCATTGTTGGCTGCACCTCGGCTTCCTTTGCTGCCTTGATCTGCTTGGGATCTTGCGTGGGGAAGATGGACTCGATAAATTGTTCAATCTGCAAGCGCATGTTAGCATTAATCATCAAGTGGCTTCTATTTTCCAACATACCTTGCCGCACGCAGCGCTGATGGCCAAAAAGTTGGGATCTCTTGGGTCGTTCTTCTTGTGTATCCTCCTTGCGTACCGCTTGAACACTTCACAGACAACCCGCAAGTTCTGGGTAGACTCGGTCATCAGCTGGCAGGCATCGCCCTTGGTGATTTTGACGTTGCGCTCAAAGATGGCAGGGTTGCGGAAGACGAGTTCCAAGCTTGCAATGGCCATGCTCTGAGGAATAGCGACGAAGTTGAAGACACTTTGGTCGCGAATGCCAGCCATGTAAAAGAGACACTCCTCGGCGTGTTTGAGCGCATTCAAAACCATCTCGGAGCTGCACTGAAGAGCCTTCTCGCGGTGCTTGGGGTCAAACATGTCATCCCAGTTATCTACGTACTTGCTCCAGATCTCCTTGGGCCACCATCGTCTCTTATCAACCCAATCCTCGTGAATGTCACGAATGATGTTGACCTTTTGAAGGAACTGACCCATGCTCTCGGTAAGATCCATGCGAACCAACAGTTGTGGGTTGGCAAGGTTGCTCTCGACGAACAGACGGGTCAGACCCTCGCCTACGAGACCGGCGACGTAGTGGCAGTAAAGCTCGTACTCCTCAATGGTCTGCACTCCGTTGGCCTCCAGCTCGGTGTTCAGGGCGTAATCAGCCATGCCATTACCCATTTCCTTGGTGATCTTCTTGATAATTTCGTAGTATGGCTTCTTGACATTCTTGAGCTCAACAATGATGTCGTCGAAGTGGACCAGGAGCTCCCTGTCCTTCTCGTTCGGCCCGTTCCCATTAAATGTCCATCCATCCTGCTCCATGGTCTCGTGGAAGTTTCTTAGAAGAGGCTCCTTCACCTTGTTGTCGAGGGTCATGTCGTCTTCGATGGTGTCGAGACCGCGGAGAACCAAATAGAAGAGGCATACCGGCATCAGCAGCTCGGGGTTTAGTTCTTGGATGACGGCAGAGAATGATCGAGAGGTCAGGTTGAGGAAATGGAAGCATGATTTCTCGGTTTCGGTCTCCTTTGAGGGGTCACGTCTGTGGACTGGTTCATGCCATACTTTCCTGCAAACAGATTGTCAGGGGATGTTATTTAAGAAGCCGAAAGGACCGACATACCATTGAATGATGGATCGTAGCTGGTTTGGGTGGAGGAGAAAGTATAGAGCCTTGGTTGCGGTACCCATGTTGGGCTATTGGTGTGATGTGGTATGGTATGGATGAAATGTTCGATCGAGGATCAATAAGGGGTAAATCTGTCGGTGAGACACGGGAAGGCAGTTTGCGCCAAAGTGTTGAAACAGCTTTTAGGGGAGACTGTTCTCGATGTCGCAAAAGAACGCGCTCGTCTGTTGAATTCAGCACGCGTAATTTGACAATCGAATTGTATGTCAGGCTAGCAACAAAAATATTTAGAAAGGACAACACGGACACTCTCTCGTGGCATGAGGGGAGGGAATGGTTATGGAGACAAGACCCTGGGAATTGGGACAGGTGTGTCGCGACTCCACTAGAAATTTGTCTTCTCCAATCTCCAGCACTTTGGTTCGCAGGCCAAGCAGGCTGGGCGGGAAAACTGAGATGCGGTCCGCCCAGCAGAGAACAAGTTGGCAAGCGTCGTAAGCGAAGCTTTTCTTGTAATACGATTGGTCAATTGCATCACGCTGGCCAGAGCTCCTGAACAACCCCCCCACTTAGTATTTTGGATACGTCGTATTTTATTGAAAGGCATTCACTGACGTTGCGTGGCACTTTGCTTTCAACAAGAATAAATTCGGTTTTTCTATCATTGGTTTACGATCAGACACAAGTCTCTGCTGTTTGCCACATTCTTCTCGTACCCAAATCGCCGTTGTTGGATTTCACAGAAGAGAGAAGATTCCCAAGGTCCCGTCTCGATCGGACCAGGGCCCGTTTTCCCATTCATCCAGATCCTATCCACCAAAGCCCGTTTTTATGATAAGAATGGAAAGGTTGCCAGTGTTTCTTGATCAACAAATTTGACGAAAAGTTTCGTGTCGGTCAAAGAACATGTTCACCACCACTACCACCCTGCCACATTAAAATCTGACTTGTCTGCCCAACTCAGCTGCAGCCTGAGAAAAGCATCTCCACCGCCTTCCCATCCCAGCCCAGTCGTTGTTGACCCCGCGTTAGCTTGACGTTCTATCGGACGCCTCCTGCCCCTTTATTGGGGCAATTCACGGCTTCGAGCCTCGTATGGGATGCGTGCACTGCAACATTGGGAACTGCGCCTGTCCCTTACAGACACATCTGCTTCGCATCCCTGGCATGCCGCCGCCCAACATGTCGTGTCTCGATTATATAAACACATTCCCCCGCATCCTTTTTAAAAAGATGTTTTGTTCACCGTATTCCGGTTCCAGTTCCCTCGACAAAGTCGGTAAACCTTGCCTTACTCACAAAACCCCACCTTGACTTATACAAAACCTCTCTTTTGTAATACTCCAACAAACAATAAATATGGCTTCCAGCGGCAATCGATTCTTGATTTGGGGCGGTGAGGGTTGGGTTGCAGGTCATCTCAAGACTCTCCTCGAGAAGGATGGAAAGGAAGTGTTCACCACGACAGTCCGCATGGAGAACCGCGAGTCGGTTCTTGCTGAGCTCGACCGCGTGAAGCCCACTCACGTCCTTAACGCCGCTGGTTGCACCGGCCGCCCCAACGTCGACTGGTGCGAGGACAACAAGGAGGCTACCGTTAGATCCAACGTTATTGGTACCTTGAACCTGACGGATGCTTGCTTCCTTCGCGGAATTCACGTTACCGTTTATGCCACCGGTTGCATTTACCAATACGACGAGGCACACCCATGGGATGGCCCTGGTTTCCTTGAGACTGATCCTGCCAACTTTGCTGGCAGCTTCTACTCCATGACCAAGACTCACGTCGAGGAGGTAAGCTTAGACCGCCAGTTTCGTTCCCGCCTTTCGCTAATTCATGCTTCACAGGTAATGAAACACTACAACAACGTCCTCATCCTCCGCCTTCGCATGCCAGTTTCTGACGACTTGCACTCCCGCAACTTTGTCACCAAGATTGCCAAATACGACCGTGTTGTTGACATCCCCAACAGCAACACCATCCTTACCGACCTCCTCCCCGCCTCCATTCTCCTTGCCGAGCACAAGGAGTTGGGTATCTACAACTTCACCAACCCCGGTGCCATTTCCCACAACGAGGTTCTTAACTTGTTCCGGGACATTGTTCGTCCCTCATTCACATGGAAGAACTTCAGCCTCGAGGAGCAGGCTAAGGTCATCAAGGCTGGCCGCAGCAACTGCAAGTTGGATACCACCAAGCTTACTACCAAGCTCGCCGAGTATGGTTATGA